CGCTACATTTAAAACATTTTTACGATTCTTTAATAAGCTTCATAATTTCATTTGCTTTGCCAAATTACTGCATTTGTATTTTTGTATAATTGTATCTGAATTTTAATTCTATTTTATGTTACATCACGAGTTTTATTCAAACATGTGTACATGTACTTTTAGGAAAATTTCTTAAACGTATTAACGTAGTAAAAGAATAGATTAAATTTGATTTCTGATTTGCAGCTCCATGTCAAATTAAGTGCCTTTGTATTTTTTTCCTCCTGGGCACACACACACGCAGAGCATGCCCATTAATTTTTAAGGCAAGGGAAATTTTGAATGTTGGCATTTGCTTTGCTCCTCTCTTGCTCTCCATCTCGTTTTTGCCTCATGGCGCTATGTCTATCCTATGTCTGTCTATGTGTCAATGTGTGAAATGAGCTTCAAGTGCAGCAAAAAAAAAAAACAACTGACAAGGACGCTCATATGAAAACAAACGCATAATTTAAGCGTAATTGCTGTCATTTTTCATTCAAGTGCGACAGTGGGTGGAGGGTGAGGTTAGCGGTTGGGGGTGCTGTTGTTGGAGTCCTGCTGGGACGACTGCGACTGCGACTGCGATTGCGATTGCGACTGGCAATTGCGGATGAGACTGCGACCGAGGCTGCTCCAGTTTTGTGTCCATGTCGCCAGCTCGTCCTCCACATGCCCCCGCATTACATATGTACATATTTACGCTCTCTCCCTCTGGCCCACCATGCTCCCTCTCTACACACTTGTGTGTGTGTGTGTGTGTGTGTGTGTGTGTGTGTGTGTGTGTGTGTGTGTGTGTGTGTGTGTGTGTGTGTGTGTGCTGAGTGCCCGCATCCGGCGCTGAAGCGCCAATAATTATGCCGCCGCTTTTTTTTTTGTCGCTGTTGTGCTGTTTTTTTTCCTGTCGTTGACTTTGGCGCCCCCTGGTGACCAGCCTTTGCAGCAATTGGCCGACTTTTGTTGCAGCTTCTACTGTTGTTGTTGTCGGTTATTGCGCCCTGCCTAATCACATTAAGCGCCGGCAAAAAGAGAAAAAATGCTAAAATAAAACTTTTTCGCGGAGACTATCAAATGTCAGGCTGTCATCATCGTATTTGTTGTTATTGTTCTTGTTTTGTGGTGCACCTGCACCTTTGGCGGCCATTGGTTTGTGGCATTGTCCTGCGTCCTGCGTCCAGAGTCCAGTGTCTCCTCTGCCTTTTGGTTGGCCGTTTGCCAACTCAACTCGACTCGAGTTCAGTTCGCTTGGGTTTTGCGTAGTTGAATGTTTCGTTTGTTTGTTGCTTTGGTGTGGCAGCAGTTGTTGTTGCTGTCGCATTCCGCAGCCTTGCAACAATCGCACTTTCACCACTTTCAATCGCCGCCCCGTTCTTTTGTGCATTGCGTGCGTTTGGCCGCACTTGCCGCAGAATTTGCTTTGAACGCGCCCTCTGCCCCCTGTCCTCTGACCTGTGCCAGATCATTTGCCATTTGACTTGCCCATATCTCTTTCGCCCTCTCCTCTCCACTCCGTGGTTTTCGCTACTGTTGCCCCAATATCAGGCTGTAATTTAACAGAATATTAAACACTTTAGAACCCTGCGATTGTGCGATTTGTAGATTCTGGACATTTTAAATGTATGTAAATGTATATATCGCTGAAGATGGAAGTCAAGAAACGGGCAGAATAAAATCTGAGTTTATTTTGATTTAAGTTGTTAAAAATATCATAAATATGTGTGTATTTTGTGGATGCATTGAAAGAAGTTCAAATTGAGTTACGACAGCTTAAGCTGGGTACAGGGTATCTCAAAGCGGGGCATGCTCATAAAAAGGCAGTAAGTTAATCCATCAGCCATGCATATACATATATGATGAAAATATCATTAGCAGGAATAACCCGGCTTTGCTCGAGAAAAAATGATTGCAATTAACGATTTTCAGCCCAACAATAAGTCAAGCGAGTCATTCAAACGGTTTCAATTTAAGTAAAGGATTTGTCCGATTAGCTCGAAACCTAGTTTCAAAGCTCTACGTAACATAAAACGCGAAAGTACGGATATCTTCGGCACGCAGAAGATCTATAATCCTTGAAGGCATTTGCCTTTCGGTTCCATGAAGATAGTGAAGCTCGTAGCGGAAAACAATCGGTCCTCTCTATAAAGATAGATAATATAATAGTGCGATCTTTATTAGACTTGCTCATATATGAGCGGCATATTTAATCTTGTAGATGCCGAGTTGGGTTAAGATATATTAGCGAAAAGCTGCGACATTTTTTTTCCTTTTAGTTCAAAGTCTTTTTCAAACATCTACGTTTGTGGTCAACTTCGGTGCTTATTGTCCGATCTTAATATAATCTTCGGGGCATAAATATGACACCCAATCGTGTGTAAATACCAAAGCGACGAGTCTAGCTTGAGATATGAGTTTTATTAAGTTTGAGGAGATTGGAAGCAGATATGCCTTCTGATATCCTACATCCTTAAAAAACACGATATGGTAACGCGAAGAGTTGTCGATGATTTGCAATGTACTCGATCTTTTCGTGCACTAAAAGGACCTTCGTTCAAGTTTTCAGGTTTCGTATAGTCTCTGAGGTCAACTCGTTCATATATACATCTTGTAAAGTATATAATGTCTATCTTGTAGTCTTGACTGGCTCTTGCTTGTAAGTTTTATAAAATTTACTTAGCTAGGGCTTTCGAGGATTTAATTATTTCCAGCAATGTAGGGCCTCCTGTTTAAGAGGTTATATTAAAAAATATAGATTTGCTTGACTTTCACTACCCTAGGTGATGCCCAAATGCATTTCAAATGCAATGCTGCTGAAACTGTAACATGGCAGTAGTTGTCGAACTGCGACTGTTGATCCATAAGTGGCGTTAATGTCACCTAAGAACTACGAATTGCTACCAAAATGTTTGCCCAAACTACAAACCCAAACTTGAGCTGGAGATGCACTGTTATTAACCATTATCAAATCGTTGTTGGGGCAGAGTCCGGGACAGAGAAAAAAGAAGTCGTCTAAAGTCTAAAGCAAAGTTAAAATGATCTCGAATTAAGTATATGAGATTCTTTAAGATCCATACTTTCATATATTGAATTACTGAAAATGGGAAAGTGAAAATTTTAAACTAAGAACAAGAAATCTGAATACAAGAAAAAATCTTGAAACAAATTAAACTCGAGAAATAAGTGAGATAAGTACGAAACGGTCACCCAAGAATTAAAAATATAATATTTAATATTTAATTAAAAAATAAATTGTTTTTTAAATATGTTCTGTTTTTTTTTTTTGTTATCAAATTTTGTGTTAGTTTTATATTCTCAAGTTAACTTTTGCATTCATATTTCAAAACGGATATTTAGAACCAAAACGCATAAAAATAAATCCTAAATGAAGATTTGTAAAATCTTTATATGCAATTTTTAACAGCTTAAATCAAAATATTCAAATTTGAAACTGCTCGTTCACTGATTTTTCACAATACATTATTGTATGTACACAAGTCGACAGCAAAGGGTATGAACACCCACATACAAACATACATATGTATGTATGCACAGACAACAATATATGTACATACATATGTATGTAAGCAAATGTGTGGCAGGTAGCGCTTGTTTACATAGACGCACACAGATATATATGTACATGTTTGGAATGCGCATGCTGGAATAATTCGAGATTTCGGTTGGGGCTGGCGCCAGCAACGGTAAATTCCTTCGTAGAGCCTACACGGAAAGCCAAAAAGTAGGAAAGTAAGAGAAGTAATTGTTCCTGCTTTAGAATCTTTTCCGCGAAAAGTTTAATTCGCTCGCCAACAATGAATTTTATCGCATCGTTGGGCAATATTCGTTTATTCGCAGTTTCGAGTTGAGAGCGTGAAAAAAAAAATACAAAATATTTAAAAAGAAAATATCAGCGAAAGTTTTATTTCAGAGCTTACAACTTTCAGGCAAAAGCGGACTTAGACGGAACAGTTTCTCGAGGAAAAGTTTCTTACTTTTGTTACTTTTGCCTATATCAATGTTTTACAAAAAGTTTTATTTTGCTTAGTTTAGAATCGAGGAGGAAATTTTGTCTATGGACTCGAGAGTCGACATCTGGCTAGACAGCCCATCTCAGAAATTGGTTTTCATTAGATACTATTAAACATATTAATATTAATATTAATATTAATAAAATTATATCAATTTTTTATATCGATAATTAAACACTATATCATCGTTTTTATTTAAAATATTATTCCTTTGTTCAAGATGAAGATACTTGAGTTACGCATTAAGTGCACTTTGTAATTTATTTTTAGGTATACACGCACTTAAATTGTGTTCAATAAAACTTGAATCAAGATCAGCTACAGAGTTTAAGGAACTTGGTTAGAGCTAAAGTTGTAATTAAATCAATAACAATCGGATTATTCCAAGTACGCACAAATCGCACTTTAAATAAAAAGGTTCTCCTTGATTTCAGTAAATTGAACGTTAGTGAGAAATTAAGTTGTGGGGGCTGGGGCACATAATACTTGATTATTTCGCTCTGTGTAGTCCCACGCGTTGCCACACAAGCATAATTTGTTGTAATTAACATAACGAGCCAGCCCAAGCAATAATGGGCCAAGTCACCCACTCGCATCCACACACGGACAAATTGAACGCCTACACCAGGAAAATGGAAGCAGAAATTGCGACTCCTGCTGCGGCTGGCGGGGGCTAAGGAGCTGTGGGTTGGTGGGTTTGGTTGGGTTGGTTTAGTCAATGTTGCCCGCATTTGTGTATAATTAATTTGGTTTTGGACAGCGCACCTTCCGCACCTGGTCCCCGCCGCATTTATGCAAATTACTTTATGAGACAACATTGAAAACTTGAGGACAATTTTCCAGACATACGATAACAAGCATAATAAAATTATGCTCTCAGAATAAGAGACATTCACAACTCTTTCTATCTATTTCTCTCTCTGTCACGCTCTCTCTCTCTCTCTCTGTCTCTCTTTGCAGCAACAAGTTGTCGAACTATCTGGTTATGTTATCATTCTCGTTGAGAATGCGGAGGGTAAAATTAAATTATACGGCTCACCGTCCGATCGCGATAATTTGGAAGTGGGCGATGAGATACTCGAGGTCAATGGACTCACCCTGGACAATATATCGCGCACCGAGGCCATACGCCACATACACGATGTAAGTAGCCAATCACTGGGATCTAAAAAGAAAACTCTTCAATTTCTCTATATTTTACAGTGCATTAAATCCTGTACAATTTGCTTGCGTGTACGAAAGAAAAATGATTCCAGATTGGGTAAGTTCCATTTAATATTCGTTTGAGTTTTTTTAAAAGTATTTTATTTAGCAATAAGTTATTCATACTGCATTTGATCCGAAATCTCACTCTATGATTAAAAACCCAAGATGCTCTTCTTTAATTTTTTGTATAAATATAAATATTTTTCACTGCGAGCCAATGATCAAACTGACATAATTGAACAAAATGGCGGGTTAGGTGCAACCTACTTTATTGTGTAGCATACTTCGCCTCAAGAACAAGAAGGCGGATATTTTGTTGATCAAATTTTTAAGTGCTGCATAAGAGAAGGCATTCTTGAATTCCCAAAATGAACTAGTCATGAATTCTGTTAAATAAACGCGGTAAATGTGAACAATTTAAATGTTGATAACATTTCGTTGACATTCTGTTAGCGCAATGGCTTTCAAAACGCGCAGTCAGCTGATTTCATTTACAAGCTTCAGTGGCTACTCAACTGTACTCTCCCCAGCCAGACGAACTTATTTCGTTCTCTCTTACTCCCTTTCTCTTTCTCTCCTTCTCTGTCGCTCTCTCCGGCTCATGCTCTCTTGCGCTTAGCGCTAGTTCGGGCAACGCGCGCAGCTTTTTGACGCTTTTGTTTTTGCAATCGTTTTGTGGTCAGCTTCAAACACTTTACGCTTACGCTCCGGCTGTCGCTGTCGCTCTCGCTGTCGCTCTCGCTGCTCGATGCTCTGTAGTGGGGCTAACTGCGGCTTTGGCGCTGCGCAGCGCCAACTAATCGCATCAGTTGTGTGGCAACAGTCGCCGTTTGTCGTACCGTTCACAGCGTTGCTCTTTTCGTTGTGCTGCACTTTGTTTCGTTTAGTTCGCGTCGTGCCGGCTTTCATGTTCGTCCCCCACCCATCGTCCCATATTATATTTAGTGTCTAAGTCTGTGCGCGCGCGTTGTGGTCTTAGGGCGTTTGTTTGGCTGCTGCGTCTGCGCCAGCGCCAGCGTTTCATTGCCATTTCGTTTCGTTCTAACGCGCATTTTGTTTTTTCTTTCCTTGTGCTGTTATGTGCTTGTGATTCTTCTTTCTTTTTTTTTGTTGGTGTAACAAATTTGATTTGTTTATACACACATTCAAACGTATATATGTATGTATCTACATGCAGTTGACGCCTACAACGACGCCGCTTAACTAAAGTAAGTGTAGACCAATGCTTGCCAAACTGCATAAGCTTGCTGTCCCCTGCCCGCACGCTTGCCTGTCAGCCGTCAGTCGGCCACAGCTGCCAGCTGAGCTAAACGCGATCCATGAATCAGCAGCAGAGACAGCGACTGCGACGGCGACGTCAACTTTGCGTTTTCGTACTCTTTTTGGTGCTTTTGTTTTTGTTTTGTGGGGCGAAGGGCAGGCGGCAACATTCATGCAATACACGCAGCGCTCAGATACATTTGTAAATAGAACAGCAACATTTTCATTTTCAGCTGTATTTTTTTTTCCTTTTTCTTTTTGCCGGCATTGTTGACATTTCTTCACTCGGAAACTCAAAAAGTTTTACCTGCAAAACGGCAATTGTGGCAGCGTCTGTGTGCGTGTGTGTGTTGATTCAGACTTTAGACATCGGTTATAAGCCGTTAACACAGCTGTCAATTTTTACGTTTTTATGCATCTATTTTTTTATTTTTATTATTCATGAACTGTGCGAGAGTGCAAAAGTCACAGCCAACAGTTAAAAAAGGAAAACTAAAGCATCGCCATGCATAAAGAAAACGGCAGCAACAAAAGTAACAGCAACAATAACAACTGCAAACTGGGCAGCAAATGTGGATGGAATGGAATGGAAAATGGGAAAATGGTGGGCAGTGGGCAGTGGGCGTCGAGTGCAGCCAAAGAGAGTCACCCGACTGGAAATTGTTGTTATTGTTGTTGTTGTTGCAGCTGCTGTACAAAAAATAGAAGATTTAATAAAAAAGTAATAATAACACTAAACGATAGCCGCATTTAATTAGTAAATAGTACTACAATTAAAATGAAAATATAGTAAGAAGAGCTGCTTACAGTTTGAGCTGCGCTGCAAGCGCTTTGATTGTAACGGCAACTCAAAAACTAACCTGAAAACGAAACGAGTTTTATTGTGTGGAGTGTGTTAACCAATAAAAAAATACAAAAATGCATAATTCATAAAATACCACAAACACATGAGTTTGGCTTATTTTTTTAAAACCATTTTGCTTTTCCGATTGCAATTGACAGAATGTTAGGGGGCGTTTCCCCCCAAAAAAAGGGGGCGTAAGTCCAAAAAGTAGAGGCAGTTCGAATTTTGATTTATTTAATAGAAACATAAATATGTTTGATATTCGATTTGAATGTACAACTGGCATGCAACAAAATGGAATTGGCACACGCATTGATGATACGTGAATCTAAGAAATAAATTTAAATTTGAGATAAATATATGGCCATTCAATACCTATAGTCTTTAAGTCATTATAACTAACGTTCGCAATATGCGATTCGTTTCCATTTAACTTAGCACTAGAAAGCCGCTGTACTCTGTAAACTATGTTTACCAACTAAAAATGCAGCTATTATTAGATTTTCTGTGAAATGCACCAGAGGGTTGTCAGCCCCTCCAGTATGAAAGCCGAGCTCGGACCGAGTCGGACCAGCACAAATATGTTTTTCCAATACAGCTGTCCTGGCGTACAGGTCTCGAGATTCCACGAACTCGACTGTTTTCCTTAATTGATTGAAACTTAACGCATAACCCCTTTCCCCCGAGTGGAAGCTGGAGGGTGTCTATTATACAATATTTATAGCCACATACATATGTATGTATGTATATAATCTACGCCTTGGCAAGACATGCCAATAATTATGGAAGGGGGCATTGGCTCGCTGTTCTAGTTTTTGTTTTTGTTCTTAATGGCTTAAAAAAGACTTTAAAGCTTCCATATAATTTTACTAGTTGGCCATACTCAGCCTTGTTGAGTTATTTAGAATTCCACGCATTTTCCGCTCGGAGAAACATTTTAAGGCATATATGTATCTAATATATATCTGGTGTGTTCAGCCCTACGAATAAGATAACCAACTAATCTTTTTTTTAACATCTAAGATCTTTAAGAATATACCTAATATTGATGCATAGAAAATACATGCCACAATTTCCACACGTTTTACATCTTGTGTCGTACGTTTAAGATGAAATCTAACTTCCTCTTAAGCCATTTACTTAGACAAACAAAAACAGTCCATACAGTATATGTATGAATATAAAGAGTAAATGAGGCTTAACAAGTCTATAACTTATTTTTAGGTGCACTTTTCTTGCTTTTCCTTCTACGCGTTCGTTTAGAGGCTTCGCCACGAACGTTTCTAATGTTTCTCTTGCTTTCTTTGTTACCTTCTTGAAAACATAATGCCACATCGACATTGACACATTATGTTCATGTTATTTTTATCTCCATATCCGTCTGTATATATGTATGCATGTGTTTTGTGTGTGTGTATATGCCATATATTGATACATTCTCCTCAGTCCCCTTTGATTTTCTCTTTTTTGGGTCACAGAATCCAGCAAAATGGGCGCCAGAATTTCCAGTTTTCTTCTTTAAGCCGAAAAAGAAGTTACTTATTACTTACTTGTTTGCTAACACACACACGCACACACACACACACACACACACACTCACACAGACAGACAAACACACACAGACACAAACGCTAACATTCCAAAGTCATGAATTTGTTGTATAAAACGAAATCAATACAAAGACGAAGACGATGAGAGCACAAGGGAAGAGCAGAGCGCGAGGAAAAGAGAGACTGACAGAGAGAGAGAGAGAGAGAGCAGCACTTCTTGTCTATTGCCCACGGTCCGTTCAGGTGTGAGCGTAGGCGTGTGAGGGGGGGTAGGCGGTGCTGGACGGGGCTTGCTGCTAGCTGGGTCAGCATCCAAAATCCGGTAAGGCAAGTTTCTTGGCGTCTCTGCTCGCTGCTGGCAGCGAGTCAATTGTGTGAGTTGCTTTACGAAATTTACACGCGCTCGCTGATGTCGGATACAATTGAGCGCTTACACACACACACATGCGAGCACACACACACGGGTGGTGTAGCGATGTGTAAAAGTCATTGCCTCAGTTGGCCATAAAATTGCATGGCACACACCAACAGATACGCTGCAGAGGGGCGAGCAGAGGGAGCAGGGGGAGCAGGGCTGCGGGCGAAGAAGCTTAGAAGCTAACTAAGACACAAGCTTGACCTCAACGTCCGGGCACAAAGCCGCAGCAGCTGCAGCGGCAGCAGCAACTGCAGTAGCTGATAAGCTTTGAATGCGAATGCGTGCAACAAAATGTTGGAACTTATAAAAACCAGCGCAATTTCCACAAAGAAACTAGATCAAAATGACAAATGCTTGACGTTTGACAAATGAAAATCGGACTGGCGTGCGGCTTTATCACAAATTGACTTTGCAGAAAAATTATCGATTCCTATATAGAAATAATAGAAACAAAGATTGAGCAGAGGGATTTTTTTAGCACATTTGGTAAGTCGATTAATCCAGCGAAACTGACGTTTCAGCTCAATGCAAAAACGCGCGCCTTTGTAAACATGGCTGTAAATACTTTGCCCTTATAAAAAACACATTTTAAACAACGAGCTCATATTTACTAGCTAGCATTGTCCGTCGTGAATTTTTCGGCCCACTGTTTGGTTAGGCAGATAAAATGTTCACTACTTACCTTTGCAATTCTTATACACTGTACCCATAGAAACAAGGGTATATTGGTTTTGTGCATACGCATGTAACAGGCAGAAAGAAAAATTCCCGCCTCATGGAGTATACATATATATTCTTTCTCAGCATCAATAGTCGATTCGATCTTCTCATGTTGGGTAGAGTCACCAAAGTTGACATACATATACGTATAGCATATACCAATCAAGAATAGTTCATTTTTTGGATGCCCTATTGGATTCCAATTGGAATCATACAACCATTTGTAGTCTCTTGTCTTTTTTGCGCATATACGAATAATCTAT